TCGTCATGTCTAACTTGGTTTCTTCTGCCCTCCATCAGGGACCTGCTGTATAATCTCCCTCTGCACATGCGTGGCTGGGATCAACTTTGAACTGTCTCGCTATCCCCGCTACATGTTCGGTATACCAGAGGACATCAGTCATGGTTACGGCTGGTCTATGTTTTGTGCTTGGGGAGGACTGGGCCTCACATTGCTGGCAGGCTTCCTGTGCACACTGGCTCCTTCCCTCTACCCCCCACACTCCCCGGTGGGTCACAAGCCCAGACAGGAGAATGGCTGCGTGTGACAGAGCATGAGCACCCCAAACAGATGCCTGTCTCATCCTGAAACGGTACTGAGCCTTGCTCTGCACTGCAGACAGTTTCATCAATGTCTCTGAGAGCCACCAGACAGAGAAAAAAGCACAGTCTCTCAGAAAGACTAAATGATAAAGAAGCGACATTTGACTGAAGTTCAGTTCGTCTGGTGCTTTTTTCCGAATGAACTCTTATGTGTCATTGCTTGCTCTCAAGGAGGCGGACATGATCATTTCTTCCTATAAATTCTGCGAGATGGAGAAGAACAAAAAAATAAATAAAAAGAGAAACTGGCAGAAGTTTAATAGCACAACTTTGAAATAAACTGTATTGAAAAGAAAAGTATTAATGTGCATCATCACATTTCAAAGGGCAACTGTGTATCATTATGTACCCATTCAGATCTATAAATATGTACATGTACTTTTTGAATCGTATGTATGCAGATGCATTTGTGTTTATTCAAGGCAAAATATGAGCATTAAGACAAAACTGTGTTTGAGGGAAATTTTTTTGTTTGTTCTTGAGGTCTTACCTTCACCAAGATATTTTTGGAAAAATAAAAAGGCCATGCAAAACGAATGTTTTCTGCATAAAACATTAAACTGACATACATGCTTTTATAGATCCAGTTTGGATCAACGTGAACTCGGATGTGTGTCGGGGCAAAGCAAACAGAAAGCATCTTACAAGCATTTAATGCTTACATGTATAAATGTAAGGAGGCAGAAAATGACACCAGTCTTCCTAACTTTATGATAAAACCTTCACACATTGATTAGCAGTTATAAAACATTTAGCAAAGTAATTTTAAGCCGAGGTAAATGAAATATCCTTTTAAAGATGCAATAGAATAAATATTTTGAAAATTCAAGAAGTTATCAATGCACTTTGGGGATTTAGATTTTTTTCCCTTAATTTCCTTCATTAGAATCTCTTCTTCATTTTTAAAGGCTGAAATGTCTCCTTTCACTGTGGAAAAAAACAAAAACAAAACATGTAGATGATCTGCTCTACTTTATATTCAGCAAAGAAAATGTACTGACATTTTATGACTACAAGGTATTTTTGGTGCAGAACTAATATACTTTAAAGATAGCATTATGAGGCTTAAACACAGTAGTGAAATACTAAAATAAGATCAGTAACTTCACAACATTTGGGAACTGATGGAAGAACCATATATTTTCCTCTGTCTACCTATAGAGGGCGCCTCAAGTCTTTGTTTCCCTTCTTGGAAAAAAAGAATAAAACAAATAAATTAAACCGAGGTTTATAAAATGTGAATATTACTAAAAAATGAGGACTAATTCATTATAATTAGTCTAATTTTAGAAACCTTCCTTCCTTCCTTCCTTCCTTCCTTCCTTCCTTCCTTACACAAAGCATATCAATTGTTTGGGAACTTGTTTTTATTTTAATGCTTTTGCTTAAGTTTTATTTTGTCCATTGTCATCCTGCTTATTTATTTCTGTGTTCCGTTCCTTAAGTCTAAGCCTTTATTATCTTAGGTTATTATTTGTCCTTTTCTCTTAATAAGGGATTTTTATTCAGTTCTTAATTAGTCTTTTTCCCATGGCTCTTTCTCCCCGTTTCTCTTCTGGCTTAGCTGCTCTATATTGTCTGTAGATTTTCTCACTGGCATCCTATTTTATTTTCCAATCCTCCCTCAGCATATAAGCACTTGGTTAATCATTGTGCTCCATTTATCCACTCATTACAGTATCTTATGTCATGCCTGCAAGTCTTCCATGATGCTCCTGCCTGTTGATTTATCCCTGCTTTATTTCCTGATCTTTATGTATTTAAGTATAACTTTATTTCATCATCCCAAATCTGAGATCCTGCATGTGCCTTGGTCCATCACCCAAACCACTAACTTTGACAAATGCTCCATGAAGAACCTTTAAAACGGTTGTTTTTAGGTCAAGCAATCGTTGCATTTTCCTCATCACAGTTGTCGTTCTGCAGTGAGGACAGCATGGATACCAACACAGACCTTTCTAACAGAAACAAATGCTCTATTGCAGGCTTGTTGCTGAAGTACGGAAGAGGATTAGGGCCACTGGGAAAAAAAATGTTAACTGATTTTTTTTTTAAATTTTATTTCAGTATAGTATGGGAAAAAAGTCAGAATTCTGACTTTAATCTCAGAATTCTGACTTTTTTTATGGTCAGAATTCAGTCAGAACTCTGAGAAAAAAGTCAGAATTCTGACTTTTTTCCCATGTTAAACTGAAATAAAATTTAAAAAATCAGTTAACTTTTTTTTTTTTTTTCAGTGGCCCTAATCCTCTTCCGTACTGAAGGCAGAACTGAGGGGGTCTAAAGTTTTCACAGGTCAGCTTGGTTCTACATTCCTGACCTTTCTTTGTTTGGCCTTAAAATGTGTTTGAGAGGAAAACAGTCTGCAGTCTTCAAACACGCTCTGTTATTTAGTGCCTCTATACAGAAATGACTAAATCTTCAGAGGATATATTGTTCAATGACTGGAGTTTCTTTTTAGAATCAAAAAAGAACAATAAATTGCTGTGACCCAGTCTGCCTTTGTCTAAACAGTGTGGAAAATATAAACGTTTTTTTTTTTCAGTCGAATCTTCTGTGCAGCGCCTCTGGAAATTAAGTGCAGCGCAGACATATAGGGTTTCTGTGCACACAAGGCTTCTGCAGTACTTTTTTGTTTTTTTTTTTGACGATCCTGTTCTACCATGTTCTGAGCCACAGAGAGCTGTTTTAAAAAATGGGGGTCCCTCAGGGGAAACTGGACTGCGAGGAAAACCAGACAGAGGAAATCACACCCAGTTGCACCCGTGGCAGCCCATATGGCCTCCTTCAAATCTGCAGAAACCTTGTCTGTTAAAGAGCGGCCGCACGCTTCTGCCAGCTGGTTTTTGTTTTTTGTGCAGATACTGGGTGGGATGAGTGAATTTTATACCGTAATTAAACTATTCACAGTTACAATACGCTTTAAAAATATATAAAAACAGAGAGACAGCAGACAAAACCAGGCTATAAACTTGTTTTTTTTCCCCCCAGGAGTCAAAAAATATTCCTATTTGAAAAGCATGTCTGATTTTTGGTTTAGATTGAACGAACATCACCAGCATTTTAATTAAGACAAAGCAAACAGCATTTTTTTTTATATGTAAATGTAAAGGAAATGGAACTTATGTGGAAAAGTTCAGAGGTCAACATTTCCCGCAAAACATGAACTCTGTGTGACAGACAGAAAAGTAGATGATAGACGCGCTGAAGGCTTCGGAGAAAGATATTTCAAACTCCAGCCGATGACTTCCAGATGGTTCACAGGAGGAAGTGACAGACTTCAGAGGCCTATTAACCAGGTCCAATTCGAAAGGGACGGGCAAGTCTGCCACCAAGAATAACTGTAATGTCATAATGGTGTGAACAGAAAGCAAGAAGAGGGTTTATGCTAAACTCACAGTTCAAAGGACGACGGAGATTTACAGCAGAATGCCTCGGGGCAAAGGGAAGGAAGGAAAAAATAAGCATGGCATGCAGACTATAACACAGTTAGATGCAGAGTTTCACAAGGACCCAGATGACCAGAAACCCACACACTGCTTTGGGGTATAGAATTAGAATGTCACACTGGAAAAACGATCTAGAAATAAGTAAAGATTTCTCAAATTAAGTGTATTTAGCCTTAATTTGAGTAGATAAATGAGATAATTTACCAATGGAATTAGTATTTTTACTCTTAAAATAAGATATTTAGATAAACTGCATTTGAAATAAGATAATGCAATGGTTTTCTTATGTTAAATGTACATTTTCTTGTTCCATTGGCAACATGTCTCTTACCTCCTCAATTCAAGAACAAATGCACTTATTTTAAGAAATAATGACTTTTTTTTTTTTCCAGTGCGCTGAGAGTATGATCAAAGTAACAGACTCAGAGTCCTGATACACTGCAAAAAATGGAAATCTAAATAAGTCATTTTTGCTCAAATTAAGTGCATTTTTTCTTGAATTCGGGAGGTAAGTGAGACACTTTGCCAATGGAACAAGACAATTTACGCTTAAAATAAGAAAAAACAATTCCTTTGTCTTATTTCAAGTGCATATTATCTAATTACTGGGTATCTTATTTTAAGAGTAAAATTACTCATTCCTTTGGCAAACTATCTCATTTACCTGCTCAAATTAAGGGTAAATACACTTCATTTAAGACATTTTTTTACTTATTTCTAGATGTTTTTTGCAGTGTAGCAGTTTACTACCAACCAGTAGTTATTTACACACTGGAAAAAAGAAATTTGTTCCTAAAAGAAGTGCATTAGCTCTTGAATTGGGGTGGTAAGTGTGAAACTTTGCCAATGGAACAGGACAATTTACATGTAAAATAAAAAATAAATAAAAACAATTGCATTGTCTTATTTCAAGCACATATTATCTAATTATATTACTTTAAGAATAGAAATAATCATTCCACTGGCAAATCTTATTTATCTATTCAAATCAATAAATACACCTTATTTAAGAAATTTTGACTTATTT